TATTTCTTTGGCTCTTTATTATGTTGACTGATCAGCGTAGCATTGGCATAATTTTGTTTAAATTCTTTAAATGAAAGAAGATTTTTTTTATTATTTATTTATGTGAGATGGATGTAATAAATGTGCCCCAGGGTACCCTTTTAATAATGGATGTGAGATCTAATCATATTAATATGAGTAATGCTAAAGAGATCACATGTTTATTCCAAATTATTGTACTATTTTTTATGGAAGTGATATGTACGAACGATATTCAACTAAATAAATTCATTAATTGACGTGACATATACATATCACTTGTCACGTCAGATGATACAAAAAAATAATTTCCCAAGCATTTATCTTTAATGTGGTACAAGAAGCGATAATGATATTGCTATTGACGAACTCGAACAAGTACCAAGGGTACTGCACCGCTACATTTTACAGTGACCAATACATTAATTAGAGATAATTTGTACAAACATTTATAAAAAATAAATTCCTACACGACTTCTACAAGCAGACATGAATTTTCGGTTTTTAGCCAGAGACAGAGAGTTTCTTAACCAATAGGATCCTGAATTTTCGGTTTTTAGCCAGAGACAGAGAGTTTCTTACCCAATAGGATCCTCTTTGTGAGGATCTTGGAGATTTGGGAATTGTGTATGTTCATCGTACATCGTGTGATTAATTTTTGTCAGGTATTGTTTGTGTATAATTTTAAATAAAAAAATTTAAAATGATTTATGACCGCACGATGTACGATGAAGGGACACAATTCACAGATCCCTGAGATCCTCACAAAGAGGATCTGGTGAGGATCTGGATTCGTTTCTTACACCTGTGAAATTAGTAGCATATAATAAACTAGGCATGTTTTGTGTGGGAGGGAAGTTGAGGTTCCACCATAAAATTAAATGGCAATATGGGGAGTAACACAATTACTTATAAGCACATGCAATGTCCCTTGTTTCCCCGATGTGGGATTCATACTCTTAACATGCCCCTTTAGATGTGGCGAATTTTCAAGCCAAATATGTGGACAACACAAACTGAAAGAAGTGCAGCAGGTGTAGTTGTTGGTCTTTACATGAGGGACAACCTATTCTGATACCATGAAGAAGTTGAGATTCCACCATAAAACCAATTGACAATATATGGAGTAACTCAATTGCGTATAATTACATACAATGTCCTTTGTTTTCTCGATTTGGAATTAATACATTCAATAGGGGGAAGAAAAAAATTAGGCATGTTACCAATTTCTTACACCCAAAAGTTGAACTATTGAACATTTGAAGTAAGTCAATGACTCAATGGTCAAAACTCATGAGTGTGAAAGTAATTTATGTGGAACGAGTTCATTACCACGGACGTTAGATCTAATAATGCAAAACTTGCGCATAACAATACTCTGTTGGACAAAAAATCTAGGGAAATACCCAGAAATATGACATTTTCATAATCTTGGGACATAAATAAGATTTTTTTTGAATATGCAAATAAGATTTTTTGAATATGCACATGCCATGAACAACAATCAGACAAAAATAGGATTTTTCTTACACCTTGAAATGACTTAATTGCCCACATATATAAATGGGTTATTTATTCTCATTTTCTGTTTTCTCTCTCTACTCTCTCTCCCTCCCTTTATCTCTTCTCTCAGTTTCTCCCTCACGCACTCTTTCTCTCGTTCTCATTGTGCACACACGGTGCATAGTCATCCCGACCAATACCATCCAAAACGAAGCCACCACCAATTTCATCTCATCCTTATGAGTTCAAAACATCTAGCCTTGTCACAAATCTTATCCACAATTGTTAGGATTGAAACTCAAGCAGGTTGCGAGTTGTTTGGCCGTTTTCCGACAACATGGCAAACAATCGAGGCTCGAGGCCACCAGCACTGGACTCTTATTGAGGGTAGGAATAAAGCCTAGTCATTAACTGCTGGTGCACTCACAGTGTCTACTGGGAACAAAGCCCTTTTATCTCTCTTTCTCTCTCTCTCTATGAACATCATGGGTAAGAAGGGTCAACACCACCATAACAAGAAAACCCATTTGTTGTTTGCTCTCTTCCTTCCAATATTTGCAGATTAGTGGGATTAAAGAAGTGAGCTTTTTCATATTTGGAAAAGGCGAAAATAAACCCAGAAGTTGTATGATGTAATAGTGCAACAAAATTTAATCAATTTCTCCCTCTTCTATATCATGGGATTCCCTACCTTGTTTGAATGTTGTGATGGTGTTTACTGAAGATTGGAAAAAATTAGTGTTTTGTTGGATAAATATTTCAGGATATGCTCACTGTATGTACACAACATACACACAATATTGTCACGTATCTGAGCCAACCTAAAAACCTAGAGCTCACAGCTCTATCTTCGAAATCAGCAAAATGACGTCATCACTTATGATGTCACCATCATATACACTATGGTACCGTTTGGTACGTAGACGGGACGGGACGGGTCGAGACGGGACGGAACAGGACAGGACAGGACAGGACGGGATGGGACGGAACATATGATGTGAATATTGAAAAAGATAAGGAGAAATTTTGTCATAAAATGTTATAAATTTGTGTTCCACAGATGTGGAACGGGTCGTTCCAGGGGAAGAGGTGGAACGAAAAATCAGCCAAATTTCGTCCCATGGGACAACCCGTTCCACAGTTTTTAGGCGCACCAAACATGGGACCGAACAGCTTGTCCCGTTCCGTCCCGTCCCGTCCCACGTACCAAACGGTACCTATATGCACACCACATGCACATTATATGCACATAACTGGAGATCGGGCAACAAGTTTTTTTTTTCGCATTAATAAAAAACTTTAACAACAATAATAGTACAAATGACAGTTTGAAAAGTCTTGTTACGTATATCAACCACCACTTAACCATGCACGTGGAAAACATGATACTCGTTGTCGTTATTTCATAGACATGCATGACCCTTAACGTTCTCTAAGCTTTTTCTTAATTTTATTTTTCGCCGAGGCCAACTAGGTTGTGGTCATACTCGCTAAATTCTAAGACCCAACATACGTGCATCATAACTAGTAGACATTCCCACTTCTCATATTAAGTTCTAGCCATGCACACCACATGCACATTATGGAAAAAATTTCACAAATTTCTACAATTGAACACTTGAACAAAAAATTGTTCCATTCTAGCTTTGTAGCACGTCAAAAAGTAAAGTTTATTCCACAACCCATAGGCCCCAACATTAAACACAAACCCTAATTTAACTTTTAAGTATTAATTGAGCTTACACAAACCATTTATTCCATAAATCATTGATGTAGAAACTTGGAACTAAACACCCTACCTTATTATGTCTGCCGAAGGTTCAGTCGCCGGAAAAAATGGAACTTTTCGGCCAAAACAAAAAAATATGCTGAAAAACCCAGCTCACTCCTCTCACCTCTTTCTCGCATCACTTTGTTCGAAATCAGAGGTATGAGGTCAATCCAAAACCTAGCTCACTTTTCTCACCTCTTTTTGGACTACCCTCTCTTCGAAATTTAAGCTCAACCCAGAAAACCAGAGCTCATAGAGCTCTCTCCACAGTCCTATCTTCCAAAAGAAAAAAAGTGATGCAATGGGCTGATGATTTTTAGTATTTATGTGTGGGTATTTTAGTAATTTCGATTTCGTGCATGGTGTACATGGCTTGTGCACGGTGAACCCATTCCATATAAAACCTTCTTCACGAGTAAATCCATCTGGGTCGACAATACACGTGGTTGCATTTCCTTGATCTCAAATATTTGTCTAAAATCCTCCCTTGAGTATGGTAGAGGCTAGTGCTCTAGCTATTATTCTATTTTTATTGTTTATTCTTTTCATAAACGAAACCTATTAAATTGTTTGCAATTACAAGTTCACAAATCTTGCTTAAGATCGATGAAATTACCCTTAAGACCAGGGCCGTATAATTCAAAGCACTTGAACATTTGAGCTGGTGCAGATCAAATTAGTCTAATTTACTAGAAGGAGGGTTCTCTACTGAGATCATGAAAACAATTGTAATCGAGTTTTGTTAACAATAATTTGTCTTTTTGCTTACAAGTTAATGTCAAGATGAAATCTAAATCTATAGTTGAGTCAATTAAAAATCATGGGCATTAACAAAATTTTGCACAAAAAAAAGTTTTTCTTTCTTTTCTCACCCACATTCATCAAAGCGTCTCTCTAATTTGAAGAAAAAAGTCTCTCTCCCCACTGCCATGTTTTCTCTCTTTATTCCTCTCTTTGACATTTCTCCCTAACTTCTCTCTCTTACATGTATATTGTTTTTCTTTTAAAATCTTTTATGTTTATGCACAAATAGCATGAGGACTTCATCTTGTGAAATTTGAATATTCCAACCAAACTCATTTATGCTTCATGAAAAATTATAACAATATATTGTAATACAATGATGCTAATCATAATATATAAAAGGTTATATATAACTATCACATGATCACATTTACAATGTGAAATGATGAATATAAGGACAATGGAGATTCAACTACCACCTAAATGTCGTCTTAATGCCGTGCTTTTCATAATTTATAACGTAACAATCTGATCAAGGCTCAAATCACACAATCTCCCTGAGGATGCAATCGTCATTTTGGCCAACAATTTTTATATGGTCCAATTGGGATGAGAGTATTGTTTCAGAATTTGGATAAGATAACTTGATATAACGACTTGAGGCTTAAATTTTTGGTTAAAAAAAGTGAGCAAAATAGAAAATGATTAAAGTTTCCAGAAGATGAGACAAGGACAGGTAAGGAACCACTGGCTGACGACATCAGGGTTACCTCATGCAATGACGTCGTACAACATTTTTAGCATTACGTGGAGGCTCATCCAGCCGTTAGTGGGAAGAAACACGTTAATCGCCTGGAGTCTGTAAGATTGTGTCCCGAATGTGAAGAGCCCAAAGACCTAATAAATAAGGACCGCTTAAGAGAGAGATTTAAGCTCTTATTGTTTGAAGTGGAATAGTAAAATTGGTTAATAAGAACCGTATGATTTAATTTTCGAGGTCTAGATTTCGTGGTATATGGGCTCTGCATGGTGAGATTCGGAGAGGATCCCAACTTGTAACATGAGGACCTCCTCTTGACGGATATAAAAGGATACCTCCCATCTATCGCTTTGGCTGCAGCTAAGCACGCACCAGAAACTCTCCAACATATATATAAACAGGAGCTGATCCAAATAGGTAGAGAGCGATGGAGAGTGTGCTACCGAATAGGGAGAGAGCGATGGAGGAGTTGATCCAAGGGCGTGAACTGGCAAGTCAACTTAGTCGGATTTTTGAAAATAGGTCATTTCTTGTTGATGGTGCTGAGGGGGGATCGGCTGAAGGTATTGTTAATAAGATTTTGGGGTCATTTGTGAATACCCTTTTGATTATAAATGGGAAGGAGTCTGATCAAGAGTTTGTTTCTGATCAAATTCAAGGGAATGGTAGTGGTGGTAGTGGCAGTGGTGTTAGTGACGGTGGTAGTGGTGGTAGTGGTGATGGTGGCGGTGCAGATTCATCATCTTGGGATGCTAATCATGTTCATGCGGCGCCTGCTATTACGTCTGAAGATTATACTGAGGAGCAGATCAGTTGTAAGAGCACTTCAACCTTCAAGGATCGTAGAGGTTCTTACAAGAGAAGGTAATTAGTTATATTTCTCTTGTTAATTACTACCTAGGTCAATTCAACATCTGCATTAACATATTGTTCAAAGTGATAAAGTTCTTTCCATGTATGATTAATTGATAATTCAATATCGGACATTTGTGTATGAAACGTACAATACTAAAGAGTTTTACTTTGGCAATCATCCGATGGCGTGATATGAACAACCATAATTAATTTATTCAAAGTAGTTGTTAGATGTATGTAAATGTGTGAACAATTGTAGTTATAATTCATTTATTCACAACACCTGTTAGATTCCTGTGTACGAATATAATTTTATTTTATTTATTCAATAATGCACAAAATTTATATTGAGAGAAAAGAGTGAAGATTACCACTTGCTCATATGCTCATGTTATGCCATATTCTGACAAAAAAATTGGATGCTTCTGGTGTTCCTTATATGTAATGATCAAAGTATCCAATTCCTATAATCCCTTTTACACCATGGCAATGCAATTCCTATATCCCTCTTACCATGGTAGCAGTGCCAGTTAACCTTAACCTTTCATTTCAAATCGATAAATGGGAATTTTGCCTAATTCAATGAATTTATAAATTAATTTTAAAGTTCTAACAAGGAGTTGCAACTTGTTGATTTCTTACAGAAAGACTTTACAAAACTCTTGGACTAGAGACACTCCTACTTTGACTTACGATGGTCATGAATGGAGAAAGTACGGACAGAAATTTATTCGTAGTGCCAAGCATTCAAGGTACATACATATATAAGATTTATCTAGTAAAATTGTTACAAACTGCAATAATTAAAGTGGTAATTGGTTCAAGATTGAAGTTGACCGTAGTTATATGTGTTGTATATATGCAGAAACTACTTCAGATGCACTCACAAATTCGAGTGCAAAGCAACCAAACATGTGCAACAAATTCAAGATCATCCACCACTGTTTCGAACCACATATTTTGGGAATCACACCTGCAAAGACTACCTTAACGCTTCGGAATTGGTCTTGAATTCCGCAAGTCCTAGAGATTCTTCAAAGTTCATTTGTTTTGACAACGCCAACTGTTTGACAAACAAAGAAGAGCACCCTTTTTTCTCATCCTTTAAAGAAGATATGCCAACAACTGATCATATGGTGAAAAGTGACCACAACCATTCATCACCGTGTGATCATCTTGTGTCGAATGATCTGACGGCGTTTGAGTCTTCTGGTCTCATGAGCGGGTTCTCATCAAGCATCGATCAGTATGATTACGACGAGGAGTTTTCAAGGATTGTCGAGTCTTACTTCGAGAATGAAGTTTCGCAATACGGATTTTGAATTTTAAATTGGATTTAGGAAAATCATATGTATGTTCAGTTTCTTTGAAGAAACTTGTTGCTTTCTCAGGGTATAAAAATCATGTAAACACTGTTATTTTCGGAAAAAAAATAAAAGGAGAAAAAGGAGCAACCTTGTTCTCTGTCTTCTTGTTAAGTGATTCTCAACATATATCAACTACAATGAAATATTTGAGAATTGGAGAGAAAATGAAGAAGAAAAGAAACCGGTGAGAAAGATGAAGAGCTAGAGAGAGAGTCTAGATAGAGAAATAAGACTTGTATTGCCACCACACCAATACCCATCACCACTATTGACACTTCTATTGTCACAACTACTACCACCACCTCAACCGCCATTGCAAACAACACAACTCGCACCACAATCACCATCTCTACCCCTGCATTTACCATCTTAAAAATTTACAATGAACACAATATGGACTCGACGTATCGATCGTGGAGTCCCTGGACTTTGAATCATCTAGTGAAAGATCAGTGATTGAAGGCAAGGATGAGCAACCCTTGAAAGCTTCAACCACAATGGAAAACGTTGAGAAAGAAGAGATTCAGGTACGCAAGAAAGCCTGCTCTGATATCATCATAAAAAGAAGATTTTTTGAATAATTGATTGTATTCATTCGAATGATATTATACACAAGTGTTGTTATTCTCACCCCACTGTTTTTTATCATATATTTTTAATTTTAGTTTGTACCCATTTTTAATTTGCAATCATTTTTTAATTTGTACCAACTTTCTTTTTAGTTTTAATTTGTACTCATATATTAATTTCTTTTTGTACCCATATTTTTTAAAGTTTTATTTGTATTTGTACCTTTTTTTTAACTTTATTTGTACCCATTTTTTATTTTACCAAATGTACCCATGCTAATTATATGTACCCATTCATGTAATTTTTTCAAAATTTTAATCTTAAAATGTACTCATTCTTAAATATACCAATTTGTTATATGTAAAATATACCATTTTTTTTATATAAAATCTATTCAATTTTTTTCTAATCCATTTTTAAACTTATATGGGTACATTCTTTTTTATTTGATTTTAAAATGTATCCATGTCAAGTTTAATCGAAGAAATTTAGTAATGTTATTAAGCCTAATATCTTTCTTTTTTTTGTGATTTTGAAGAATGTACCCATGTTTTGATACAATAATTTTTTGGTTAATTTTGATGAATGTACCCATGTGTATACACACACACACACACACACAATAGTATATTTATATTTTAATATTTTTAATCCCACAAATTATGGTTTTTTTATTTAAAATCTCATTTATATAAAAAACCAAAAAATTTAATTTTTAATTTAAAAAATATTGTAATGTACATAGAAATAAATTATCACATTAATTTCAGGGACTTCAATAAAAAATTGAAAACCAACAAGATTTCAATCAAAGAATATTTATAGATAGGGACCGCATCCAAAGTCTCCCTAATAATAATAATAATAATAATAATAATAATAATAATAATAATAATAATAGGTTGGGCGCGAAAGATAACAAGAGCCTTAGGGTTGTGAAAGGAATGGACAATATGTAATCCGAATTCACAAAAAGACATAAAGGACAAGGATATAAGGAATTCTCTAATGAAAAAGTGTAGATGCCCTTTCCAATTAGGGGTGTGCTCTCCACACACCCCTTTTTATTTCTCACACACCCCTTGTTAATTTCTGTCCGTTGATCTTTTTTAATTCATCCAATCTGACAGTCGAAAGCCAAAAAGGTGTGAGAGAAGTAAAAAGGGGTGTGTGGATATCACACCCCTTCCAATTAAAGGGTAAGAAGCTAGCAACTGAATGATGATGGAATATTAATTGTAGTTATTTAAGTGCATAATCACATAGTACCGGATCATTTGGAGGGTCATTAATTTCCTGGTAGACTATCGTCATAGAAGAATTTGTTGTTGGAGAAATAGAACTTCATTTTTTAAGGAACAATAGTGGATGGGAAAATAACACATTCTTATTTTAGAATAATAGTGAGTGGGAACAGTTTAATTTTTTAATTTTTTATAGTGGTTGAAATTATAATGTAGGTGAAGAACTAAGACACGGATGAGTAACAGCTATCCTATATATGTTTACTAGGCTAGTACGTCATATATACAATTGTTTTATACATATTGAACTCCTTGATATGTGGAATTGACTTCCTAACTATGGCTACAGATTGCTAACTAAGGCCAATGTCAAATTTCGAGCTTATCTAACAGTGGTATTATTTTACTATTAAGCTAAAATTGACTGGCTGCCACAAAGGCTTTAAATCCGATTAGGACCTTATTTGAATTCTGATCATTGTTTTGTTTTGTAGTAGGTTAGGGTTTCCATCTAATCTGCATTCGATTGGAGATTATTTAAAGCCAAAGCCACCCAAAACTATAAAACATAGTCAAGATTCATCACGCCAAATCGAGGATTTTAACATTGGATGATTCTATCAAGGGACATTAGGCACTAGTATAATGGTGAGTTGGGGCCCCTATGCGCCTAGTTAGAGTCTAGGTAAAGAGCGAGGCGAATTTAAATAAATTTACTATGTATCATACAAGTAAGTGCCTATTTACACTTATAAAAAACTTATACTTGTATTGATAATTTGGGGTTTATGATTATAACATATAACATACAAAAATATCATGTTTTCTTCCTTTAATATTTTAGTAAATTTGATGGTATGTGATGAAAGTGCAAGTGACTACGAGTTCATAGTACTTTACGAAATACTTTTCAGAGGTCGTATGAATTTATAAGATTTAAAAAAAAAAAAAAACAGTGTTAAACGTATGGTATAAAAATATTGGTTGAGTAATACACCATCTCTTTGCTAAGTAAAATGTTATGGTAGCACAACCTAATTGGAAAACAATTAAAAGAGAAAAGTAAAACAGGAATTGGTCACGTGGGAAATGGAGAGAGAAAATCTTTCTTCTTCTTTATAACCAAGGTCCAAGAATAGCAAAGCCATGACGGTTTTCTTTCTGTTCCACTTTGTTTGAAATTAGATTTTTCTTTTTGGTTCAAAGCTTATATTATATAACATCTACATAACTATGGTGTATTCTCTATTTTGCCACATGTCCAAACCGTTGGGTGGTCCATAAAAGTCTTCACAGGCGCTTCTTCGAATGTCCGGGTGGTCTCGGGACCACCTAGGTCCAAAAGTGGATCCACCCCTGCCTCAAACATATTGTACCTTTTTGAAAACATTCTCAGATGCTCTGGAGATTGAGAAAATATTCAGCGTATCCAAAATACGGGATGGTACACCATGTGTTATTATACAAATGATGAGATAATTGTGTTAAACGTGTGGGGCCATTGTTGTAACTCATAACACGTGGATCCTCCTCGTAATTTCTTATGAGAGGATCATCGCTGGAACCTTTTTGTGAGGATCCCGAGAATCCTCCAATTACATCCGTTCATCGTACATTGTGCGGCCAATTTTCGTCAGGTACTGTTTATATTCAATTTTAAATTTAAAAAAAAAAAGGGTTTTTTAGATATAGGTCCTTGAAACTCCTATTTTCCAAATCAACCCACTTAAATTTAAATAAAACCCAAATTTCAAATAGACTGCCATATAGACAAATATATGACCAACTATTACAATACATTTACAACTTATGCCACAAAATCCTAATTTGGTCAATAAATGTTATTACTCATCCTAATTATGATGAGCAATTAAATCCATTATGGATATTTTACCTTACTTGTATCATAAATATTAGCAACATATATAAATTAATTTACCAAATTTAAAAAAAAATAAAAAAGACATATCTTGTATGGAAAAAATAATATTGTTTGAATCATGTAATTACCTACATACAAATTAATTTACCTACTTATAAAATATTATACTAATTTACCTGCATTTTGAATCATGTAATTATCCACATACAAATATTATACTAATTTACCTACTTGTAAAATATTATGCTAATTTACCTACATTTAAATTAATTTACCTATTCCAAAAAAAAAATTAAATGATATTGGATAATGTTCGAATGATGTGGGTTTGTGCTTGTAGGCAATTAAATAAGCTTTTAATCTAATGCACATAAATCATGTAGCTAAAATAGACCGTTTTGGAAGTAAATGGAAGTAAATTAGACCTTTTACATTTTGGTTTGATGGAATAGATAAATTAGACTATTTTGAAAATTGTGCGGAACATATAGCTTTTGTCTTGTGTATTAAGGATTGGAGTATTAGCCGAAGCCGTTTTAGTTTTATTGTTGTGTTGGTAGGTAAATTAACTTATATGTTTATTGCACAAAATTATGAAATTAGTATAATTATTTTTTAATCGGCACATTATATAACAATTTGAAAGTTAATACATTGAATATACAATGAATGTCATGAATTATTTTTTAAAATACATAAAATTAATTAAATGCATATAACAAGTAACTGATCCAAAAACCATCCAAGTATTAATAGGGGTAGTTTAGACATTTGAAAAATACACAATTTGAAAAGTCAAACTTAATTAAAGAATTTGTTTAGTTGGAGGTTAGTCAATGAGCTTCATTCAATAAAACAAAAAGTGATGGGTTTTAGTAGGGGAAAATATAGTTTCAAGGGGTAATATCAAATTTTCAACAAAAGGATGAACATATGTGATTTGAGAATTCCATAAATCCTCAAAAAGAGGATCCTCACTAATTCAACCCACCAAACAGGACCTACATGACGGGTCATCCTAATACAGTATACACACATTACATGACAATCCTAAGAATTTATCTATAAATCAAATATGCAATATATATACATTGTTGGCACTGGCGGATCCATTAAGGGGCGAGGGGGGTCAACTGACCCCCTGAACTCCGATGAATGTCCATAGACACCTTAAGTGTTGACCCTCCGAACTTCGATGAATGTCCATGGATACCTTGAGTGTTGCCCTTTTGAAGATTAGAGTTGGCTTCATACTTGCCCTCCAACCGACTTCAGGCCTACCAAAACCTGATGAATGTCCATGAATACCTTGGGTGTTGCCCCTTACTTACATTAACATGTCTGTAGTATGCATTTTCAAATGACTTCAGACCTACCAAGACTCGATAAAATGACAATATGCATGCTATTTCTAGTATAAAAAAAATTTCGCGCTGCGCGCACTATTCTTACTGATCCCCCTAATATTATTTCCTGGATCCGCCACTGATTGTCGGCACAGAAACTTGGAAAGCATAGACTTTGATGCTCATGTATTAGCTTCTCTTGGTCATTGCGACGAAAAGGAAAGGAAGTGACATACTATTTTAAAATGAGTAGGAGGGGATTTAAATTTGGATGTACAAGAAAGCACAATGTTTTAGTCAATGTTGGTTTGGTTGGATATGAAAAATAGGTTTGTTTTTTTATGGAGAACAATTCATATGGATCGTGTTGTCGTCACGTGATGTCCCAATAATAATGTAAATAGAAATAAAAAAAAATTTACACATGATATTATATTATTATACCATAATGTCATGATGACGATGAACTCATTACATGTAAATCTATCTTCTTTTGATTACCCTTTTTTCATATTTTTTTGGTTAAATAATGACCTAATCCTTTCACTTCCTCGTACCTGTGCAAGTTGGGCCTTAAAGTTTAAATGGTGAGTTGTAAGCTGAAACCCAAAAACTCGAAGAGAGAAACACATAAAAGAGATCAGTTACACATAAAAGGGATCCTTCTCGAGCAAAAGATCTGCTAAGAAATCAGGACGTTCTTCAAACCAAGGACAAAAATCATTACAAAGAAGTGTTGTGTGGGCAAGGTGTTCTAAATTCGCTTGGCGGCAGATATAGGTTTCTTATTTTTATTAGTTTCTTGTTTTTACTTACAGTTTTTACAAATTTTATGCTTGCTCTTTATCGATGGAATAATTAAAACTAGTGTTTATTCACTTTATCCCTGCTCTTAGGCAAAATAGTGAATAAAATTGTGAAGTTCCTCAGCACTTGAGGAAATAACATAGACCAAGGCAGGTAGAAGTGGGCACAGTCCAAATTAGGTCGGCTTTACACTAAAATTATAACTAAACTAATTACAATATAACAATTTGGTCTGGTCAGATTGTGACAAAAATCCTGAAGAAAATCAAACCAAACCAAATTAATGTTGAAGGTTTGGTTCTGTTTAATTCGGGCAGTTTGGACCCAAAAGGCTAAAATAAAAGAAATTTCCGTGTCACTATCTCAATTTTTTTTAATAAGCGATATTATCTATACTAACGGAGTGGGAGAGTGGGCTAAACCTCACAATGGACTAGCCATAATAATGTGGTACACATTCGTCTTTGGTGAGAATCGAACTCAAGATCTCTTACTTACTAGTGAAGAGATACCACTAGACTGTAGTACTAAGTGACGTCATTATCTCAACTTTGCTAGCTCAATTACAATAAAAAAATTTCACAGTTGCTACATATTTTCATTTTCAATTACAACATCAAACAATCCTAAGTATATTAGTTGCAACTTAAAAATCAGTAACTTCTTAGTCACATTATCCTTCAGATTCAACATTCATATGTGGTTATTAGCAAGTAAAAATAATACATGTGTAAATAAAGTAATAAAATGCAAATATGCAAGTAGTTGGTCCTGTTCGGCTTAGGTTGGTTTACAAAAGCTCCAAACTGTAATTAAGGTACTTCATTACAATATGGTTCGATTTTTGTAGATCATTTGAATCAAACTGAATTGGTTACTACGGTTTTTGGATCAGTCGATCGGTTTGGTCAGTTTGGTCAGATTGGTGCACACCACTTGGACCAGTATCCCAATCATAACGACACAATCTCTTGTAGACGCAAAACACACACAAACCAACACTCAATCACTATGTTTGTTGGCAGCTAGCAATGGTATACGCTTGCACACTCCTTTCTTTCAAGTCTTCTAATGGGGTTGAGAGCGAATAAGTAGTTGGGGAAAACAAGTTATCATGGAGGCGTAAAATTAACTATTTTGGACGCGGTTGCACCCACATCTGTGTAGAATTGTTGTTCGACTGTTGACAAATCGAAGTCCAAAAATGGCACATCGAAGTCAATTTATTTTTATATGTGCGATATTCTAATTGAATGAAAACTACGTGATGTGGGCCAGAAATTGAATTATTGGAGATGTAATAAAATTAAAAGAAGAAAGTGATGTTCAATGAAGGAAAGTGATTGAAGAATTGAAAGTTTCAAGATTAAAAGATTATTGCTAATGTCTTGAAAGTTAATGTTTTGGACTTTTCTGATAACTCCACATGAGAAAAACAAAGAAGAGACAAATCTATGGGTTTTTAGTATCAAGACTTGCACCAAAAATTCTGAATTTATTAGTCTTGAGACTCGCCATAAACATGTATTCAGTGATAATTTAGGAAGTCTTTATAATTTTATTATTTCCTATTTTATTTTTCGTTTGAACTTAGGATTTTCTTAGACTATATAAACAACCTTTAGGGTTGTATTTCAACAATCATTTATATTATCATCGGTTCAACTGTAAAGTTCTCTATTTTCTGGTGCATTACGAATTGCTCAGTTTACGTTCTAAGATTTAACGGTGATCATTCCTACCTATTCCATTTATGGCCGCGTCTCTACGAGAAGAGGATCTGAACTTAAATGCAAGAGAAAAGACGCTCTTAGACAATTTTGCTATGCTTCATTTTTCAACTGAAGCACGTAAGGTTGTTTCTATTTTGGTGCCAAGTTCCTTTAGTGCTAACACAAACTGAGCAACAAGCTAAAACAAAAGTTCCAATATTTACTGCAGGCAAAGTCTAAATATTTCGTTTCAGTCATCAACTGAGATTTTGCTTATTGCTTTTATTGAACTTGCCAGGAAAATCCAGCCCATAAAGCCCCCAAACCATCGCCAAAGATGACAACCAAACCGGGACAGGACCAAGCATCCACAACAGCATAGGAAAAGTGATGCACAGCATCCTGTTGCTTACAAGAGCCAAAATAAACCCTTTCTCAAGTATGGTTCTTGCGTGTCCAGAAGATGAGAACTCCTGATCACAAGCATTGATCAAGAAGTTGGCATCGATCAAAAACGCAATCGCCATGGAGCTGCACAAGAAGCAAACTGACAAAGACAAAGCTGCGGAGCCATATTTTAAGGCAAAAATCTTGGTGGATTGTGACCCAAAAAAGGTATTGCTGAAGAGGTGCGTTGCACTATAGGAATTGTTTATTAGAGCTGCCAGCGAGACTTGAATAAGAATTGCTACTGTGGCTGTGAGTGTTGTCCCCATAAGAGTATTTCTCAAGCTTTGGACTGCTAACATGCCTTTCTTATCATCACCCTGGAATATTTTTCCAACATCATATATAAATTTAGGAAACTATAAATCATGTAAGTAAGATATAATGATAGTATTAAGAGGATTAAGTAGATGTATATATATGCTTTGTTAGACAACTATTAGACTGCTAAACGCTTAATTATGCTGTCAGAGAATGAGTCAACAATGTATATCAAGCTTACACTTTTTCCACTGGAGAGTGACAAACAAAAAATGAGTGAGGAATGAAAGTCAAAAATAGGACCGCTTGCAAAACAGACCGTAATTTCACATTAGACACCATGAGACCCTAAACATTTAAGCTATTGAGAAAGAAAAACCATGTATATTAAGCTTAATTATAGAACTTAATTACCCCATCTAGCTCTAGGAACCAAGCTCTCCTCTTCAGCATATTGATCCCAATTGTGGTACGAGAGGGCTTGTTCTTGAGGTTGTGCCATAGATAGGCATGGTAACCAACTGTGAGAAAGAGGCTCATGGGAACCAAAACGTTGTCTAGATAAGCGATCACTCCCATCTTAATTTCTGTGAAGCTTAATTTCAGAATAGAACCAGAGATGAATCGGCGGCCAAATGCATCCAATTTATTCACGACTTGTAAGAGAGCCAAAAGGGGTAAGGTAGTGGAATGTGCGTCACAAGCAATTGCGTTTTGGGAATGTGTTGCAATTGGTTGGAAGAATTGTGGAATTTACGTAATGGACGTTAAAGTTTGATGTAGGGTTGGAGGCATATGCAAAAGCCTAAGAATTGGTTCAGTGGTCTGTCCACTAATGTGTTTAATTTTAATTGGACTATTTGATCTTGAAAGTTGCATAACTAGTGCAACTATTGCGTCATAAAGTTCGTTTCGATTTTTTTAGAAAATTCTTAATTTTCAGCCACATGTAATGAAAATATGGTTTGTATTTCTTATGTGCGTATTTCTCTAATTGGGTGCTTTTGTATCTACTTCAAATTAAAGACTTGCTTTTATTATTATAAATTAACCAATGCTAAGTGTAACAACACAATTTCAGAAGGAATATGAAATGAAATATCAGAGGCGGTGTGTAAAAGGTGCAGTGCTACAGGGTTCTGAATTTTTGAGGGTCGCAAAAATTTTCATCCTCTTATAAATTCCATGAGTATAAATATTCTAATAAAAAAGTTTTTAACTGAAAAGAAAAATCATCATCATATGATTTTATCTATATTACAATTGATTAAACTTGTGTATTACCTTCTTTCACAAATACAAGCATATTTTCGTATCTCTTTTTCATTCGTGCTCTGCTTTTCATGGATGAACCTTAAATCATAATTTTATGGCAACCGGAGATTATTCAATTAATAAGAGTGAGATGCTAATTTCAATTAAGTTTGAATATTGATACATTAAATTCTACATGAATATATTGTCCAATTTTTTTTTTAAATAAAGAGGGTCTTTTTATTAATTTTGCACAGGATTCCAAAATGTCAGAGACGCCCTGTGAACCACATAGCTACTTTTTATGAGTTTTGTCCAAAGGAAGATAAAGATGGGAAAATGCTTCTCTGTCTCGGTTTCACTATCTCCTTTTTCTATCTTTCTAAAATGTTAATGTCAAATGAAACGAGAGGGAAGTTTCTCTGTAGAGGTGGAAAACGATACAGAAGCCGCTAAAATTCAAACGACATTTTTTTGCAGTTGATGCATTGTGAGTCCAAGCAATTTTGACTATATATTAATGCACATGAGGCTCACAATGCATCAATATTCAAAATTTGCAACTGTCTGTTGCATCTACAAGTCGTATTTCAAAAGGTGATACCTGTAACTACACTTGCTGATGGCACATGTATAAAAATTAGGGAAAGACAAGCCCTATGCCTATTGCAAAAATATGCGTACGTACATGTTGCATGTATGCTTGATTTCTTCTTCAACTAAGGCTTTGCCTACTGCTTGTGCTGAGTTTGGCAGCAAAATCAAGCTCATAAAGCCACCAAACCAAGGCCAGGGAAGACAATGCAACAAGCATTGGACCAAACAACCACAACAACATGGGAAAGGAAATACAAAGCAACCTGTTGCCAATAAGAGCCAACATGTACCCTTTTTCAAGTTGGGTTTCTGTGATTCCGGAATATGAGAACTCAAAAGAAGCGTTTATTAGAAAAATGGTATCGATCAGGAACCCGGTCGCCATGGAGCTGAATAATGAGCTAAACAACATGAGAAATGAGGCCAACCCATATTTCAGAGCAAAGATGCTTCCAGACTGCGAACCAAAAAATGGGCTTTTGATAACGAGGTGACTTGCATTGTAAGCATTGTTGGTGAGAGCTGCCAAAGTCAAGCTTAAAGCAATTGCTGTAGAAGCTGTGAATATTGCCACCATTTGAGTGTTTCTCAAGCTTTGGATTACCAGCATCCCCTTCATACCATCAGCCTGCAAATCAGATAATTAAGAGATACAGATAGAAACCTAGAATTAAAGTTTCCTTCTGTAGGATAAAAAATGGAAGCTTTTTCGAGCGGGATGATGAAAGAGGGTCTTGGACTTACCTCCATAATTTCTAGAAACCATTTTCTTCTTCTCATTGAGTCAATTCCAATGGTGGTAAGAGAGGGTTTGGCCTTGAAGGTGTACCATAGATAGACATGGTAGCCTATCAGAAGGAAGAAGCTCAAGGGGACTAAAATGGTGTCTAAATAAACAAGCACTTCCATATTGTTTCAGAGGATGGAAGGCATGCTTGTGACACCCAATAAGAGGGTATATATGAAATAATATTCTGGAGGTGGTTAAGCCTATATGAGGAAGAGGGTTGAGCACTTGTGGAATGATGTATGATTGACATTATAACTTTCTGTGGCTAGGGTTTGAGCAATGCACCAAACTTCTAAATAATTTGTATGGGCATGCTAATGTGAGTTGACCTAAATTCGATAATATTGTTTAGCCAAACTAAAGTAGAGATTGGTGGATGCCCACTAAACAAAAGGCTACTTACAGCATGGACAGCTTAAACTTTTGGTGATTAGGTTCTGATTAGATTAACACACCAAGTAAGACATACCATTTTGTTGCGATTGGAAAAATGAGTTTCTTTCGTGACTAATTCATCTTCTACTTTCTTAAACATACCGTAAAGATACTAAATTAACAGATCAGACTAAAAACAAATACTCTAAATGTGTGAATCCTAATAGAAATGACATTCTTTTTGTTTTTGTGATCAATTAGAAAAGGTAAAATCATTCATATTCTCATTCTTCAGAATTTGTTCAATCTCTTAGTTGATTCTTTACTTGAATTTCTCATCTAAATGTGTTATTCCTAGATGCATTGGTGCTTCTATTGGGAGACTTGTCTGATAACTAATAAACGCCACCTGTTCCTTTATACTTCCTACTTTTTTGGGCTTCAATAATTTGACAAAAAAACCCCATTATTATAAAAGTAGACAATAGCCTGGAAAGCCCAAATCTAGAACCCATCAAGGGCAAAATGAGGCCCAACATGCCTCTGGAAAAGCAAGGTGCGGTGTGGTTTCCGTTTGGGTTGTGTGTTTCTTCCCCACTTCACCATCTCAAACTGCGCTGAGATTTCTGGAGGAAGGAGAAGGTGAGAAAAAAATGGAACAGAGAGGGTTCTGGTATGAAAAGGGGTCGCTATTAGGGTTAATTTTGGGGGTTTTTCTCATATGCAACGAGTGCATCATAAGTTTGATGCTTCAGTAGATTCAATGCATATTGAAGGAAGAACCGTAAAGGTTTCTTGAAGAAAAAAAGGGAAACGTAAGGAGAAGTCGCAAGGGAAAATCCCCTCTGGTCATGTTGAAGCCAATTCTCTCTTACAAACGCAATTCTTTAGTATAGTTGCGAGTTTTTCAATGCTGAGTTCCGTGACAATCCAATCATAAGAGCAGAGGTCTACAAACTGAACTATAAGGTATCGTTTGCTACGTGGCACAGAACGGGACGGAACGCAGTGGGACAAGGCATTCCGTCTTACGTTTGGTGTGCCTAAAAACCGTGGAACAGGTCGTCCTATGGGACGAAATTTGGTTTATTTTTCGTTCCACCTTTCTCTAGAACGACTGATTCTACATCCATAGAACACAAATTTATAATATTTTAAAACAAAATTTACCCTTTATCTTTTTCAGTATTTACATCATTCGTGGAACATCTGTTCCATCCTGTCCCGTCCCTTATGCGCACCAAATGGTACCTAATGTATCTTGCTTTTTATAACAAAATTTAATTTAGCATTGTGTTAGTGATGTTCGAATCCTCCACCCAAATGGCCTTTTCTATTTCCCAAAAAACATAAAAGGTAAAATAAAATTAGGTAAGGTAGGGTTTGCAGCCTGAAAAGCAAAATCAGAGAAAGCAAATAAAAAATTATTAAGTTGTGTGGCTGCTGGGATTCGAGCCCAGGTCTCCACGGCCACAACGTGGAATTCTTACCACTAAACTACAGCCACAGGATGTTATTAAAACGTTCGATAAAATAAATAACTTGATACCTGAACAGTGCAAGTTGCTTCACACAAAGCCCTAGAATGAAGCAACTGGGTATTGCCAACTGCTCGGATCAGTTGATAGATCATAGAATCGTCCTGGTTTGCATCGACGTTATAGTTCTTTCATCGTGTAAAGAGAGTGTGATAGACTAAAACCCTAATTAGGATTCCTTCAATTAATGCCTTTCATGCTCGTACAATTGCATCAACCATATTGAGTTGCACTAAACATATTGGAGTTGGACTAATATATGTGTTCGCTATTGTCCTCGGTCAACCAACCGACGTTTTGACAAAAGGGCTAACGAGCACGATTTCATTAACTTTTATTTCCAGTGTCATCAAGTTGTGATATATTAAAAGGAAAACTAATGAAAATGATTTGAAAACTTTGAGTTTTAACGATAAGAATAAAATAAAGGGTAAAGTGAATAGTACCAAGATTGACTTTTAGTGTAAAAATGTGATTTTTCGTTAAAATGAATAATACCGGAAGTTTTTCGTTAAAGTTCTCTATATTAAAACCCTAATTAGGATTCCTTGTAAGTATTTATTTGTAATTTGTTGTAAAATTATATTTCCTACTTAGGAATCATATTCTTTGTAGCCTACGGCTTGTGATGTAGATATAAACGGGTTTACCCTATGAATGAAATCATCCCATTCAATTTAATATTTCTACAACAACAAAGTTCTCTTTCATTCAGGTACATATTTCAGTTAAAGCTTCTTCATTGATGTTCTAAAACTGGTTTTTGATTGTTGGGGTTTTCTGATTGTCTAATAGTTGGGGGAAGACGAAGAACATGGGTCAACATGATCACCACTGCCGCCACTGCCGTGGAGACAACCCTTGTGATGACCTCTTCTTGTGGGGTTGTTGCTGTCCTTCTTTAGTCTCTTCATTTTTCAGAAGAATCGGGAGACGCATGCTTGTGGCTTGTTTCCCTGTTCTGCAGTGTTTTGGACTGGATAACTACAGATACAACCATCATCGCCAAACACATTTTCACTAACCTTTTAAAAGTTGTTGTCCCTTTTCTCTTTTTGTTGTTCTGAATAGCTTTCGATATATTTGATGGCAAATTAATAGCTTTGGAATTGTAAACGTGTGTTCATTTGGATGACATATGGGAATTAATTAGCATGTTTTTGGTTTTGTGTTTGCCTCTTGACGGAGTATATTTGGATAACTGCATAACGAAAGAGGGATATCGTCAACCATGCGTGTACTTGAAGGTCTTACAGGCAGCATTCTATGCTCCCTTCACGCACGAGTCGTCACCCATTCTTTGGCTGATGATTGGAGTTTTCATGTATATAAGATTCCTATCAAGATTGGCCAAGTTTCAATTTACAAACATTTCATTTTACGATCATTGACACAAACGGGACAGAACTTAGTAGCAAAAATATTTAGGTAGCATGTCACAAATTATATGAAAAGTTGGTTACGGCACACACTAAGAAGTGTTTGTGAGCTTTCCAATATGCCAATGGAATTTCCTTATTCTAACATGGAATGTTTTATCTAAGGCATCCCTGCTTCCGTGGTGAGAAAAATGTAAGATTAGGATTAGGGGTGGGCACGGGCCGGGCCGGGCCCAAATTTGGAGAGATCGGACCGGACCCGCTTAAAAAGAAAAAGGGCTGGATCGGGCCAGGTATTGCAAATCTGATTACTGGAACCAGACCTAACCCGGCCCATTTGAAATGGGCCGGGTCGGGACTGATCCACGAGTCCTTTTTTTTCCGGTTTTGATCGCCTCCCAGACTCACCATCCTCCAGATCTTCAACTCGGTCTCCGACATCAAGACCCACATCCGCTTTCCGCGCCGTTTCCAAATCTGGCACAAAACCATAAACCCAATTGATTCACCACGAAAATTCTATTTTCTCAGTAGCCAAACAGAAAACAAGAAGGGACGACCATCGATGGTGACCATTCGAGCTCCGAACTTGACATCGATGGTAAAATCATGCACAGGCTGGAACCTCTTATCCATGAATTGCAAGATCTTCCAACACCTACAAATCCAAACCAAAAACCCAAAACCAAAACCCAATTGTTTTAAAACCTCAATTCTCAAACCAAACAAAAATAAATAAATAAAAAATCAGAAGGCTAGGCGAGAGAGAGAGATTGAGAGGGAGGAGGTCGAGAATCGACAGATCCAAGGTGTGAGAAACCGGAGACAGAGGCGTTGGGAAAGAGAGAGAGAGAGAGAGACTGGGGGAGAGAGAAAGAAAGAGGGAGGAGACTGAGGAGAGGAAAGAGTCTTCGAGAAGGTGTGAGAAACTGTGGTGGAGGTCGAGGTGAGGTGTGTCTGCTCCAGGAAGGAGAGTTGCAGAGATAGGGAAAAAGAAACAAGGAGAGGAATGAGGGAGAAGGATCGAGAGATTGGGGGTGTGTGTGTGTGTGTGTGTGTGTGTTCTCCGAGAGGGAGAAAAAGCATCGAGATTGAGAATCTCTGGCTCTGCCACACCCAGTAGCCAGTAGGTGAACTTAAAGAGGGAGAGATCAATTTTTTATTTTTTTTTAATATGTTGATGCAATTATGAACTTGTAGGACTTTTGTAGCTGATAAGTACAAGTAGGTGCGAAAAGTGGGGGTGGGTGTCTGACAATGTTCTCAGTTCTCGAGAGTGAGAACTCACGGGAAGCCTCGGAGAGTGAGACAGTAATGTTTTTAAATTGGGATGTTAGGGTACCTGTTTTTTTATTCTTCTAGACCCGGCCCGCCCCTAAAATTCTAAAGCATCGGCCCAGCCCGACCTGTTTCTCTTTTAAAAAATTAGGAACCGGCCCGTACCCATCCCGAACCTTGATTACCCGCCCCGACCCGCGGTTCCTGTACCCGTTTGCCCACCCCTAATTAGGATATTAAGTCATGGATAATGCTTGCATCCCCTTTTTGGATGACGAAGTCATTCTCCTACTTGCAAATAACATAAATTTACTGTAGAATTTTTATAATCAAAACCGTTCAATATCTTAATCTTCATTTGAAGAACATTCCTACAATAAAAGCATTCGAATTAGAGATCGTTTTGTCATCCTACTGTATCAAATAAATCAATTGTTCATCATGAATATTGTTACTTGGTACCTACACCATCGATTTATTTGATATATTTATATGACTAAACTATCTTCAATTCGAATGATGTTTTGTAGGGTGATCTTCAAATGAAGATTAAGATATTGAATTATTTTGTTATGAAAATTCTACATTCAAAATACCTTATTTGCAAGTGGGGGAAATGAGCTCATCCACCAAAA